AACCTTTAGAAAGAACGAGTTTTTCGGTTTCAGTTAATGATTTATTAGATAAATTTATAATTGTTTTGTCCAGAAATTGTTTATTTTTTATGCTAAAAATGTCTTTTTGATTTTTTCGTTGAGTAATTTTTCTAGTTTATGGTTATGAATTTGTTTTTGAATAATACATTTTCTTTCATAGGTTTTTACAATTTTATTGTATGCTTCATTTGATACTTATATTGTCGACTGCTATTATATCCTAAGCAAAACAAAAAATCAAAATTTTTGTATCAACTAAATTTACGGTTAGCACCAAAACTGCCATAAAATACACAAAGAAATATGCAGACCTCGGAAAGATTTCGAGCACATACTGGGAACAAATTAATCTAATTTATCTAAACAGCACATAGAAATAACAGAACAGACTGATAAATTTTTGAGGCGAAATACCCAAAAAGAAGTTTGCAAAAAAAGACAGGAAGGAAATTGAAAAACTATACTTGAAACATTCCAGAGCATCGAGCCCCAGTATCTTCTAATCTAAGTAGTCATCCATGGTATGCACAATTGAAGTAGATGAAGTTGTTCTAGAAGCTCGGCTTCAGTAAAACTTTTGTCCATTCGGGTCGCATAAACATGGGGGTAAACCGCATAAAATGAAATTGCGGTCAAAGGGTGGCTTTCCAGTGGTCGTACCCACAACACGTCCCACTCATCTAACCCACGCCACCATAATAAAACCGAACGAAAAAAGCATTAGAGAACTTTCTTGATGGTTGGCATCTAGTTTTCAGATCTATTTATATTCCATTCCGAGTTTTTTCCGTTGAAAAAGCCATGTAGATAGTGCAGACAACAAAAGTGGTTTTCCGGCCCACTCACACGTGTTTGCCCATGGACCTCCATGAAATGCCGTTTTGTATCTCCTAGGCAGGCCATTCAAACGTAAATATTAAGGCCAAAGAGATGTTGGCATATTTTACAAGATGCAGGTGGCATCAAGGCGTGTGCACAGTTAATTTGCCATTTGGACCTTTGCCTAGTCGTCTGGACGGTTCAGTTTACTGCCATTCTCAAAACTAACCGTTTTTTCAATGGAAATAAATATGAAGTTCGTGCTGGTGTCTCGGCACATGCAACAACAATTACAATCAATTTGTTACTTTTACCCAGTGGAAAAAACCATATAATAACCAGTTAGTCAACCGGGCTCCTGGCTCAACTTAAATTGCTGATGGCGTCATGGCTTGATCAACCTGACCACATGAAAAAAGCTAGATTGTTTTTATTTATCCGAAACATTGGTAGATTAAGAAAATTGCCAACTCAATGAAAATTGAGTAGAAAACTAATTAAAAAGCATGCAGAATGGCCCCAATCCTCCAGTTTTTAACTTAAAGCAAATTGTACATAATGCTTGATTACGGCCCAAAACAAATAATATAATGATGGAAAACCACAGTTATCAGTAATCAGTGGACCATGGACTGAGGGTCTTATTTATGAACATTCATGAGAGCCTGATATTGATTCTTTCTGTCTAGGAAAAAGCACAGCGACAACCATGCAGACAAGCACGTATTTGTTGACAATCATGTCAGCGGTGCGGCGCATTTGTGGTTAGTTTTCCAATTGTTCTCTTCAAAACGTTGCGTTGCTTCTCATTTTATCAGGAAAATTATCAGCTTTTCATAAGCAAAGCCCAAATTCCTCAGGTGACTCATAATCTCATAAAAAGCTGAAGAGTTAGGCATAGGAAACCGGGTATAAAACACAGGGTGTCCCATTCCAATCAGGCAAGTTGACATTGTTCAAAAACACATAATATCAAAATAGCAGAAAAAACTAAAAACACCTTAGCAAATGAATGTTTCACAAAATTTAAACCTAGGATTGACAA